GGAAGGAGTCTGTTCCAGACTGCATTTGTCTTTTGCCGAAGCTCAGACTGTGGCACAGGATCGGGAACGTCGGAAGCACTGTCTGACGCGTCTGCCTCCGCGATCCGAAAGGAGAAGCGGCGGTGGAAGATGAAGACGAAGAAGATGAAGTTTCACGCATGCCAAAGGGACCTTGAAGGCAGTGACAATTTTATATACTTGCGCCAAACGATAAGTGTCGAGGAGAATTTAACCGACGTCACAAAACACTTTCACATGTTTCATGGGCTTTCTTTAAGGCCAAACTAGGCAACTGAATCATTTAGTTCGAAGGTAATTGAAACAGAATAAGGCATCCTATGGAGTCATTTATTCAAGAATTTACGGATTATTTCAGTCAGCACTTTAAGTTATTTGCAGCTGAACGACTGTCGTGGTGTCAGCTTTCAATACAATTGCAATGAAACAACGTTGCAAAATGAACAGCTGGTCTACAAACGCAGATGTGTCCCTATATTGAGAGCTACTGTTATAAGGTTGTGTAGGTCATGACACTCTCGAATGCAAAGGCCTTTCGCTGTCTAGCGTGAGCGATTAGCGCTCAACTAGTTTACCAGAGCCAGAGTTTTGTTTAATGTGCACTTCCATTGAGGAAATTTGTGCTCTGGATAAAACAGACTTTCCTTATAAGTTCTTACTAGACATCTCTCACTATGCCTCGCAGTGCTTGGCCTTTTGTTACAACAATGGTCCTGATGGCCAAACAAGTCTGACCGGATTGATGCACAAGCTATTTTGCGTGGAAAAGATCCTTCACTGAACAAAATATGGAAGATCAAAGGATTTCGTATTCAATTTAATGTCATTTAGAATTAACGCTTAAAATTACGTAAGAACTCAATCCTGGATACGATTGGAAGAAATGAGGTTTCTTTGAACAATTGCTGAGTAACCAAGGTCAGGAACAGGGCAATAAGGGATATCTCGATTGCAAACCGTTCTTCCTCGAGAGCATGATATCGTAACTGCAGTAGCTGCACAATGGATCAAGAAGCAGTAGAAAAGGTGGAGGGGCTCGCAAGGCAGACTCTCTTGGTAAAGTCAATGGGAAGAGGGTGGAAAAGCAGATCGCGGATTAAACGGTTCGATTATATAGACGAACCGACACTAGCGAGCTTTGGAATCCAAGTCAATGAAATTGTCTGCATGGCGACGGACCAGGACTATTGGAAACGCATTCTAGAGCAGCTGCCCCTCTCAAAGGAATGGGAAATATGGGGATTTAGTAATAAATGAACAGAAATAATATAACGAAGGTACTTAAACTGGTCGACTTCTATTGCCGTTTTCCCTCCATAATACAAGCGAGAACCGATAGCACAGTATGGATTACTATTAACGACTGATAAACCTGGAAGAAGGAGCATGGCTTCATATCGTCATAGACATGCGTACCAAAGATATCAAGTGGCTACCTCGCTTTCCACTGTACTCATCAGGATAGTATCAACGGCATATTCCAGATAAGTAAGATATCGGGTTGAACATGTTGAACTGCGTCGTCCTTTAATATTTTCCTTCCGTGTGTACTACTTTTAGAAGCAAATCAGAATTTCAGGCTTACAAGGGAAAGCCACCTTATGGCAATTTTCGACGCTCAGAGCACCTGGTTTATAAAACCATTGAGTTTGCAGAGCAGACATTCTGTGGCAAAACATTCCAATCTTTTGTACCTCGATCGACACTTCCACTAAATGTACACCTTGTGTTCAGTTTCCATTTGTCAATGCGGTATGCGCCTGTGCATGTCTCGTTCTTACGCATTTAATCGAGGAGTTATCTTCCGCAGCAGGTCAAAACCAGTTTTGTTGGATCCTAAATTAAAAACTGTTGCCGTGTTCCATAATCTTCACCAGATGTCTTCGGCACTGAACATACTTGACTCCGCGAAACACTCAAGAACGACTTTCTTGATTTTAGCAATAAAAATCTATGTATCACCTGCCGAGAACTGGTGTGGCAAACTAGGGTTCGCCTGTAATTTCTTGTCCTCTTAGAGGTTCGTGTTTGGAATCAAACGTCCGAAGGATGAATGTTCGACAAATCATGAACTGACGGTGATAGGATATAACCATTTCTGAAATCGTTCACATCATCAAACCTATTTGGGAGTTCACTTTGTTGGGATGGACACCACTTGATCAGACTCAGGCACAAGATTCCAAGAAGGCAAGAATCAAACCTCAATTGCCCAGAAAGTTTGCTTCCCCCGATGCCCAGCTACCAATCGCATGATGGTGGCTCGCGAGTTATTTGTTATCGCCAACTTCAACGAGTGTTTCTTGACAGTTAGCATTTTATTCAGGAGTGGGAGAAGATATCTTCTAATGGTGCTTCACTTAGTATCCTGAGGGGATTACTTGCGCCTCAGTTACTGAGAAGGAATGCCAACAATAATTTTACTGAAATCTGGTAGTAGTTGCCGTCTATGGAAAAAACAACTGGTGAGGCTAGAATCTCTTGAAAACCTCCACTTATATTGAGAATGCAAAGTCGCCAGCGTGGCTGAATGTCTGAGTCAGTACCAAACGTGTTGCTTAAGCGCATACTGAACAGGAACGGTGCGGGAAGATCGATTCATTCAGTGGATGGCTGTTGAGATCTAGCGGCGTTGAGCTGGTCGCCAAGAAAAGCATGAATTTTTCTTATGACTCAGCACCGTCTACAGAAGAAGCAAAGTGCGCTGTCCCGGGAGTGCTTAGCTAACCGGAACCAACGACCATATGTCGTCAAAGACCACTGCTAGGTCAGTAAACGCAACGCCCTAATTTCCAATTCCTAGTTTTTTATGTTTTCCTCTGTCACGTGACCTATTTAGCATTTATATGCACCATTAGTAGTCTGCATCATACGCAATTGTGTATTTTATTTTGCCTCGCTGAAGAAATAATACTCCGCATATACCACTCAAAGTGTACTTTTTTTACAAGTGTTCACTATTGTTCATTTGGTTTTAACCTGCTTCTGGTTTGACAGCATTTTATTACTGTAGGAAGCATGAAGACTAGGATGCAATGGGCAACATAAAGCGCAGGCATAACTCAGGCATCCCAGGAATTTTAGGTCCAACTATGGAATGAGCACTTGGTTTTCGCTCATCTGAGCAAAGTAAACGAACAACACTACGGGTGAAAATGAAGCAGAAGACAACAGACTTTAGTTTTAACACAACCATGAACTGTAGTGAACTATGAACTATAAATATACCGCATTAAAAGCGTTCATTTAGTAAATGGAATCGATACAAAATTAGGGTCACGTCATAATCACTGTAGAAGGATTCCAGTGATGACTCGAAAAATGAACACATTAAGTAACTCGCAAGGTATAGGGATGTGAAAACTACATGAAAACATGTGACATCGCTTTAAATTTAACCTTCAGCCATTTTACGTATGGGACCAGAAGTGATCCTGCGACAGAGGGAGTACGATATGTATGAGACACTTACTCATAACATACTCAGTCGCCATGTAGCGGCACTGGCTGACCACCTGGCCAAGTTAAGAACAGCGGCAGGGCACTATAAACTGCCTTCATGGCTATGGAATTCCATGTACCTCATATACTGCTCATTTTCGTCGATTCACATTTTTTAGAGTTTCATCCCAATTGGAAACTTGACTTTCCTATTACTTAGATAGAGCAGGTATACGGCAACCGCTACTACTTGCCTAACTGATAGACAAAAGACACCGGAAACAGCCATGAATGAATTGGAGCAAGCGTCCTGACAGACTCTGCTATAGACTAGATTTATCTTCAGCCGCAGCTTAAACGCTGCAACAAGATCAAAAACGGAGATTATCGGACACGTCTGACTCCGTGACTTGAAACGAAAACGTTCAGCAAAACTCACAGAGATCGGACAATCCTGGAATACAGATAAAAACAGCAAATACGAATGCAAGGTCAGCCAGTAACTGAACCGTGTACCACTATGGGTGTAGGAAGGAGCCAACAGGCTGAACGTCCTTGCTAACTTGCTAACGGCATGAAAACGCAGGTCAGCAAAGGAAATATCAAGTCCATGAATGGAGGGTACCAATGAATCGTGCCTATGATGAAAGTGTATCAGATAATAAAGTTCCTGAAGATCTTGTCAGAGGTGCCTCAGACTGACGGAACGCAAGCAGTGCTCTTCAGATCTGCAGTCGGCCATTCTGCGAAATCTCCTTTGCAACATCTTTGGGTAGACATCTTCAACCTGGAGGCTCACGGAATCCTCCGATAAATGAACCACTTCTCATGCTCTTCTTCTATGAATTCAGGTACTACAACCACTGCTCCCCGGTCTACAGGTGTCTTCCTCATAGCCGTTGTAGTCTAACATACACATGTTAACCACGTGCCTGATTCGCCTAAAGATATACGTATTTCAGGCCGGACATCAATTCAAAAGTGCCTTGCCACTTTCCAAGTTTTTTACAGTTTCGACAAATTCATCCACCGAAGGATCAATATTCGTTCCCTGCTGCGCTTCAGGTAAATCCAACTGGGTTCGTTCAGCGATAAGAAGTTTCTGAAGTTACTCTCTCCCCCGCAAAAGTAAGTCAGTTACGGCGATCAAACATGTATCTCAGGACTCCGAGTCTGTCCTCAATTCCTCGAGCTGAAGCTTCTTTGCTACCAACCACCCACTAAATGCAGCCCACCAGTCAGTCGCAGGACTGCTACTTCCGCTGACAGGCTTCCATCTAATGATTCAAAGACAGGTTTGGTTCTACCAAAACACCGACAGAAGCCTGAACAAGCGGCGTAGAGTCGATACCTAATAGAAAAGCCACCCTAGGCAGAGGTCCACAGTCGATTCAAACCACTCTAGTGACTTAGTCACACACACACACACACACACACACACACACACAGTGGCTCCCAGTAGGTATGCGCAGAGAAGTTAAAACTTTTGAGTAACCTTTCTTAGTGTGCGGTTTGCCAGACAACACTATCTATCGCCACTGTAATTTTAATAAGAATCTAAAGCAGAAGATATAAATTGAAGCAAACGTTTACCTGCGCGTACTGGAAATGGCACAGGTGTAAGAAAAAAAATATAATGCGGTAAAGCAATGCGAAGCAAAAATGAACTCTATCTTAGCGACCACAGACAGACAACTAGAAACAACGAACAACCGGTATAAAAAGAACTGAAAAACTTGAAGGCGAACATATGTGATCGCTGGCAGCCGATATGCTGGCGGGAAGGCGAGAAGATAGCCGCCGTTCAGCAAACGTACGTGTACGCGATAGTCACAGTGAGTATGGCAGTGCTTCATGCTGTG